TGTGTGTGTGTGTGTGTGTGTGTGTGTGTGTGTGTGTGTGTGTGTATGTGTGTGTGTGTGTGTCTTTTGGGCATATTTTCCCACGTATGTTGTTCATATGAATCAATAGTTTATTTCTAGATGTTAGGCATGACCTACACTTATTTCATGTTTATATCTTAGACATATGCTTAGGGGTGTTCGATAGGTAGCACTCGGGCACTCGTCACAGCCCCTCGGTTTGGGTTATGACAAAAGTGGTATCAGAGCAGTTTCATCCTAGGGTTGTCTACAGACCGTGTCTAGTAGAGTTTTGTTTATGGGTGTGTTGTGCACCACACTTATAAGCAGGAGGCTACAGGGCATTTAGGACTGTTTTCACTATTTCTTCTTACTTTAGATCGTGTGGTAGAGATCAGTTATAAAAATTCAAACTCCTAAATTTTATTTTAATCGTTATACAATGACATCTACATCCAGAAAGACAGTTGGTAAGAGATTGAATATGGCTGTGGAAGAGTTGAGTCAAAGGAACTCGATTTTGTGTCATGCTTATCATGAGTAAATGTAAGGTATTCAGTAGATTATGTGTGTACTACGACATGTAAGCTTCTTGATAAGGAGCCCTAAGGCATGAATATTTATACACCCCTATGGTAAAAAGCAACGAGAGAATCAGAAGGTAGATACAAGTTTCAACAAGTAAAATGAGCAAGGGGAAAATGGATACGAGGTACCCAGTTAGTGAAGATTACCTGTATTTACAATTCACGCAGATAAATATAAGCATTCTGAGTTACTTTCAACAATAACAAAGATATATTCACTTGGCAACGCCCATTTCAGTTATGCCCTGTGGGAGCTAACAAATATAATTTAAGAGAATGATGGGATATCAGCATCCAGTTGGGGTTAGAGTAGCCCAAAATTGTGGATGGATTATTATCATTAGCTCACATTTCCGAGGAATATTGCAAACATGGTAATTGTTCTCCTTGTGAGACACTCAGATGGTGCACTCTAGAATAGTACAGTCAGATATGAATAATAGAATGTTCAAAAATTTCAGAAGATAGGCAGTGGAATCCTAGAAGAGATAAATATTTACCTTAGTATAACTCTTGTCCCTAGAAAAAAAGGTAGAGAGAATGTTAGGCATCCCGAAGAGCCAGTGAGATGATGCAAGGAGAGCTAAAAGTGAAAGAATATTTTGTTGAAGTTTTCAGAATAAAGTAATAGACAAAAATATTAGCTGGAAAATAAAAAGAGAGTAAATGAAGTATTATGAGTAAGATATGATAAATGGATGATAACGGTAAATCAAAATATGACAGAATGATAGAGTCTATAGTCAAGTGAAGGAAAAGACAAGAGGAGACATGCCCTGAGTCAATAAAAGAGTATAAGCCATAAAGTCACGTCCCCATTTCGAGAAATGAATTGGTGACTCGTACGTGATTACCAGAAGGAAAAGTTAAACCTCCGAAGAAATAGAAATCAGTATGGGCTAGTGAACAAGATAAACTGAACATGAATTAGGGATCGGAAGATTTGATAATAGTTGGCATCGTGAGAATTTTAGAGATCGTGTTCCGACAATAATAGAATGGACAACAGAAGAATAACCTTTAAAGGTCATTCAGAAAAACGCTTCCCTAAAATAAGCGTTGTGAGCAGAGTTAAGCTTAAGAGACTAAGTGTGCCAGTTACACTAGGTGTCACCTTCGTGCGTAAGAAATTAAATTATAAATGGTACAAAAGGGTTACCGCAAGGCAAGTAAGAGTCCGTAAAGATGTGAAAAGACGCCAAATATAAAGAGGTAAAATATTTATAGGTAAATCTTCATAGCATTAAATGTTAGTACTCCCCTAAAGGAGGAAGATGGTGTAATATGTAGAAATGTTATGGCATTATATACGCACCACCACCTGATCAGCTAGTATACATTTATGATTTCGCCTAAAGAAGCTGAGATGATATGATGGGATGCCCTCAGAGGCTTGATGATGTTATGTACGCATATACCTATGCATGATATAACATTTATACACATATGCATAATATTATAAATGTTTCATGATTCACAAATCTATTCAGACTTACAGGTTGAGTCCTTTACTCCATGTTTCTTTCATGTCTGTTATATACTAATTTTTATGCCTTACATACTCGATACATTATTCATACTGACGCCCCTATTGCTTGGGGGCCTACGTTTCATGCCGCATGTGCAGGTAGACAGGCTGACAATCCCCCATCTTAGGATCCTTGCTCAGCGAAAGTTGGTGTGTTCCATTTGATCCGGAGCTGCTATTGAGTTTTGATACGATACTTTTGTATACATATGGGTATGACGGGGCCCAGTCTCATCCTCTGTACAGTTGTACACTATGTTAAAGGTCTGTAGACAGTCATGTATAGTTGGATAGTATGCGGTCTTGTCGGCTCGCCCTACCGTATATATANACCGTGACAATTATTTTTATAATTAAAATCAACATATGAGTTGTTAATACTATATCTTTTTATATGTTTGAAAAAGCTCAATATTACATAGTATATTCTTAATAATTACGGAAACTACTTAGGTACTTTAAAATAATAGAAGTAATAAAAATAAAATAAGAGTATATCATCTTAATTTTGTTCGACTAATATATACTCACGAAAATATTATAAGTGCATCTCTTACAGCTTGTTTGGATGGTTGTTACACATCGTTTCATAATGTATCGTATTGTACTGTATCGTTTGATGAATACAATATTTGGATAGATTGTATCATTTGCCGTTGTTTCATGATATCATGCACCAGCAATACGAAGAATAAATTTTCAATATTATAAAGAAAAATTATGATTCGGGATAAATTTATTATATAAAAAGGTAGGATAAATGATAAAATAAAATTATTTAATAGTAGTGAAGGGTGAAATGAGAGAAAAAGACAAGATAACGACGCAACCACACCAAATGGTCGTTACATAAAGTGGCACATTTCGTCGTTACGTAACGACGGATTTAACGATACAATACAATAAAATTTTAGTAACAACCAAAACAAACATCGTATTTAAAGTAACAATACGATACAATACAATAGGTAACGACCATCCAAACAAGCTGTTAGTTAGAGTTTTAATACTCAATTTAACATAAATATTTTTTTAAAAAAAATCTGTAGAAGGAAAATACGAGTGAAATTCAACTTAAAATTTTCAAATTTAGGTTAAAGTTAAAATTATCTCAGTTCCTTAATTAATGTTTCTTATATTTGATTCATTGTTACTTGAATCATAAGGATGTATTTCAAAATTAAAATAATAAAAATGGTAGGCCAAGAAAGTACTCAAGAAATAGTATTGGGGGATAATTAAATACAATATGAGGACGATAAAATTTTCTTCCATATAAAAAGTAGCTTTTGTTATGGTGTATGATTTTGGAGAAACAAATGAATAATTTTTGTGACTTTTTTGTCATAAGATAAAGAGAAGTGATTTTAGTAGATAAATTCATCGAGTTGAATGAATTAGGATAATGTGAGTACTATAAATCATCATATTTCATAATTAAGAATTGTTTAAGATATGTTTCAAGAAATAGTGGTCAAAGCTATCAATAACATTCTCAAAGGGCAGAATACGGCAGCCCCTTTAACTTATTTCTACTTTTCGCTCCAGCACTTATTCCCAAGGCCATGCCATTCGAACATTCGAACTAGCCCTTTACGGCTTGTTTGGATGGTTGTTACATGTTGTATTGTATTGTATTATTATTTTAAATATATAATATTTATTTTGATTGTTATTTAAATTTTATCGTATCGTTAACTCAGTCGTTACATAACGATAAAAAATATTACTTTATGGAACGACTGATTTGGTATGATCGCGTCGTCACCTTATCTTTTTCTTTTATATTGCCCTTCCTTATTATTAAATAATTATATTTTATCGTTTACCCTACCTTTTTATATAATAATTTTACTTTGTACCTTATTTTTTCTGTATAATATCGCAAGTTTATTCTTCATATTGTTAGTGCATGACATCATGAAACGACGAAAAATAATACAATTTATCTAAACATTGTATACATCAAAATAATATACTCCCTCCGTTTCAATTTATGTGAACCCATTTGATTGGGCACGAAATTTAAGAAAAGAGAGAAGACTTTTAAACTTGTGGTATAAAATGAAGTACATATATTTTGTGTGGCTATAAATCATTGCATAAAGGTAAATTATTTCCAAATAAGGAAAGAGATAATTCTTTTTGGCACTGACTAAAAAGAAAATAGGTTCACATAAATTGAAACAAAGGGAGTAATATAATATAATATAATATAATATAATATTATATGATACGAAACAATACTAAGAACCGTCCAAACAATCTGTTAGTGTGTCAGGCAGTAAAATTATAGGCAGCCAAATATGATAGATGTGTGTCATTCATCCACAGAGACCAATAAGACGGAGACACGTAAATTTAACTTTTAAAAATAATAATAATTGGAAAACAAGAACCCTCTGACATCTTTCCGGGATTCTGCCAGTACAATCCTTCGGTACATAGAACATACCTTGGCCTCTTCTTCTTTCCTTTTAATAACTAAACAAGTTAATTCACAAACTCCCAAGTTATACCTTCAGTTATTCAAACATTAATAGATCTGAAATATAACAAAAACAAACAACATTAATAATTTGGACATAAATGCAGAAATGAGCGAATTGCACGATCATTACGTGGCTGGAGATAAAGAGTAGCAATCAGTTCCAGCAATCAGTGCCTGGCTGGACACAGCGAAAACTGTAGCAAAATATCGGCCGGGCATTCCAACTTCAATCAGTTTTGAATAGATTCGAGCCAATCCAAGTGTTGGAGGTTCTTCCCCAGGTCGTAATCTATCTCCCCACAAAAATTTGGAGCATTCCAACTTCAAAAATGGCAACTCCGATGAAGCTCCAAGCTCCGGCGAGCTCGATTTGGCCGGAAATAGTGTTCAAACCAATCAGATGCAGCAAAACCAATGCCTAACAGTTTCTGCACCTCAGGGGAGTGTTTCTAACCCGTCCTCTTCAGCTTTGATCCACTCAGCTGCGACGAATTTGAAAAATGGAGGATTTGGCAAGTTGAGCATACAAGGTGTTCGACAATATACCAATTCCAATTTCACGCCAATTCAGCAGGGTTCAGATGTTTTACATGCTTCTTCTCACCAAATACAATCCCCCATATAGTTATTTATCACAAACAGTTTGACCGATCCGGGTAGTTCTTGTTCATATATGAACGCTACTTTTTCGGCCAGAACACTACTCTTAGTCATGGCTGTTTTTGAATAAGTTTTGAAACGGAAGCTTGGATCTTAAAAACGAGATAATCAATATTAACTCTTAAGAATTAAAGCAGAAGCTTCGATCTTGAAACGGAAGCTTGCCAGAACTTAGAATTACTTCTTTGTGTACATAGTATTAAATCCTAAACTGAAAAATTAAAAGAGAAATTTAGCGGAAAAATTTCCGGCAAAAACTATTTATTTTCCGTAAAAATTCACGAGCTTGAAAAACGTGAGAAACCCATGTCAGCTTTTTGGGTCTAAATGGCACACAATATGCCTGGTTAAAGTGTTAAAATGGAACCGGCTTAAGATTAAGTGTCAAAGTGGAAAGTAGAAGTAAGTTAAAGGGGCCGCCAGTGTATTTTTCTCAAAAGCAATATTTCCTGGCAATGGTCCAGTCGCTATATTATTTGGAAATATTTGCTATTGTTTCTTCTTTTGATGCTGCTTCATATTTCTTGTTATTGGTATGATCACCATACTGTCTATCTTGGACTGAAAATTAGGGTGACCCTTCAGACAGCAAAGACTTAGCCAATTCAAGGGGGTTGCTGCAGCAATTACTTCTGGCAATTTTCAAAATTTTAGGTTTGCTCTCTTCTTCTGACCCTATTCATCTCTGCAGAGAAGTATATCATATGCTCATATCATGGCTGCTTAAGTCGCTGTTTAAGGAAGTAGCTGACAGAAAAGAACAAAGTGGGGTCCGAGGTCGAGGTTCGTGTAGGGTTCGGGTTCAGGGTTGGGGTCGGGGACCATGATCGAGTACGGGTTTGGGTTTGGGTTCACGGTCGAAGGTGAGATTGGGTCAAGGTCCGTAGTCGGGGATAGTGGTCGGGTTCGGGGTTCAGTGTCAAAATTTGTGTCCGAGGTCATGGTCAGGTCGAGGTCGGGGGTCGGGTTTTGAAGTCAGCGTTGGGGTCGGGGTACAGGGTCGGTTGACGAGGTCTAGGGTTCGTGTTCAAGAATTTAGTATTTGCTTAAATTATATTAAAATGCTTGGGACAATATTTTTTCCTAACTAACCAAATACTAGAAAATAAGTAAGAAAACCACTTGTTTTCCAAGAAAATATTTTCTAGAAAACATTTTCCATCATGCCAAATGCACCCTGAATGTTTTTTTTTTTAGTAAAAAAAGAAAAACTGATTATAGAGAGGCTTTTCCATTCTTCATTTACTTGTCATTAGTGCTGCAAAGTTTCAATTCTATTTAACTTTTTCAGATTATCTGATCCTTCTGCAGTAGGTTACAATCGTAGTCTACTTTTGTGTTATTCGAAGGTTTTCTGGCAAAGATAGATCAGATGGAAAAGTTTATTTTGCTTTTTGCTTTGTGTATATTTGGGAAGCTTCTCTAACAGTTCTCATATGTAATCAGCTGAGAATAAGTAGAGGAAGACTAATTACCATTTACTTTGATGCTAGCTTTCCAACTGTTTTTGTCTTGTAGAAACATTAAAAGCCTAGATCTTCAAATAAATGCACAATCCACATTTTAACAACAAGACTCAGAAAAAGAGAAACAATGGTCAACAAATTTGAGATTGCTTATCAGTTTTACTGTATAGAATTGTTCCCTTACTCAAAAAGAAGATAGCCAGCTAAGCAAGTGTAAACATGAGTCACTACAATTTCTTAAATAGGAAACTGCAGTTAATTTCATATCTTTGTACATGCCTCTGCCCACGATGCAGTGATGTTATGTTTCACCTTACATGATTCTACTCATTTCTCATACTTAGCAGTAGTACATTATAAATTTTTCCTGTTAGACTATCCACTAGTTATATTAAAAGACGGAAGGAGAGATTGATTATTAAGTGTTAACAATGGAGATCAATTCTTTCTTCAAAGTGCTATTGTCCCTGATTTTGATATGGTTATTTGGATTGTTTGTTAAGTTATACAACACACTGATAGCTAAGCCTTTGAAGCTCCGATTAGCTCTGCAAAAGCAGGGTATTCGGGGGCCTCCAGGTACACTCCTATTAGGGAACCTCTTGGAGATCCATAACGCTTTTAGTCATGCATCAATAGCGAGTGGCACGAGCAATGACTTCCCAGTTTCTCACAATATTCAATCAATTCTTTTTCCATTTGTAGATCGATGGCTCGAAAAATATGGTAACTATATGCATGTGTGTTCAAGAATCATAATTATATCGCCTTCTTTCCTTTCTTTTTTCTTGTCAAAAATTACTACTAGCAGTTCTGAAACTTTATTGCACCTTGAATTAATAGGTGACATTTTCATGATATCGATTGGGAGTACGCAAATTTTAGGAGTGGCTAAACCTGAGATGGTGAGAGAGATCATGAACACTTCAGCAAATTTTGACAAACCCCCTTATTATATGGAATTACTTAAACCTTTGTTTGGTGATGGTGTGATAACTTCATCTGGTGCTAAATGGAATTCCCAGAGGAAGATTCTTGCCCCTGAGTTCCGCTTGGAGAAACTTAAGGTATGAAATAGTAACAAATAGTATAAAGATATCACCCATTGTATATATGACGTATCTTTAATTTGTTTTGAGTTAACCCTTCTTCCTAGGGAATGATCAAATTGATTCAAGAAGCTGCAGTTACGGTAGTAGAGCAATGGAATGCCGAGATAGAGAAGGCTGCTCAAGGTGGAATTGCAGAAATACACATCGACGAATACATGAGAAGGTTTTCGGCTGAGGTGATATCTAGGACATGCTTTGGAAGCAGCTACATTGAGGGTGAAGAAATCTTCTCTAAGCTTACTACTCTATGGTTGACCGTATCCAAGAATCTTGAGTTTTACGCGATTCCAGGAATGAGGTGCACTTCAACTTTATTTAATTGATAATAATGATTCTTATGCTAAGAATATTTAATTGGTCTTGAATGTAACAGGCATATCCCTACGAAGAGAAACAGGGAGATTAAGGCACTGGAAAAAGAAATTCAAACGTCCATCTTAAAAGTGATCGAGGAACGAAAGCAAGCTGGAATCGAGAAAAATTTGCTACAGACTATTCTTGAAGCTGCCAAGAGTAGTGGGTTGAGTCAAGATTCTGCAAATAAATTCATTGTAGATAACTGTAAAAACATTTATTTAGCTGGATATGAAACTACTGCTGTTTCCGCACAATGGTGCCTCGTGCTACTATCTGTCTACCCAGAATGGCAAAATCGCGTTCGTTCTGAGGTAATTGAAGTTTGTAAAGGACAACTTCCTGATCATGATATGATTTTCAGAATGAAACAGGTATTATCACTACTAATTTGTTTATATATCCTGCAAAAAATGGTATCAAGTGAAAAATATTTTCTAGCTAATTAATACTCTGGATATATCTTATGACAGTTGACAAAGGTGATTAATGAGACATTGCGACTATATACTCCAGTACCAGTACTTCCAAGAGAAGCATTTGCTGACATGAAGTTTGGGGACATTTGCATACCAAAGGGTCTAAATATTTGGTTACTGGCGACAACGTTACACACAGATCCAAAAGTATGGGGACCCAATGCCAACGAATTCAATCCAGATAGGTTTGAGAATGGAGTGGCCGGCGCCTGTACACATCCATATCTGTACATGCCTTTTGGATCTGGAGTAAGAATATGTGTTGGACAAAACTTTGCCTTACTCGAACTCAAGATTCTGATTTCACTTCTTTTATCTCACTTTTCTTTCTCCCTCTCGCCCAAATACGTTCATTCGCCTACCTACCGTGTGGTTATTGAGCCTCAACATGGAGTTCATCTTCTTGTTAAGAAATTATGATCAGATCGATGCACGTATGCTTCTTCAACATCAATCGTTTGTAAGACATCACATGGAAATCATTGACTGACATTTTAGTGTTACAAGCATTTAATGTTTTGGATATGTAAGTCCTTATTTGTTAAGAGTACTAGTATTATTTTTACCTTGCGTAGAATCAACTCAACTCCTTATATTCACGGCTAGAATATTTTTTTCTTTTTATCTCTTAGATTTCTATTACTAATTATTGTTTCTTTCGCTTTGGTTTCTTATTATCTTGTCGTTGTTGTTACTGCTTGCTGCCACTTTTTTTTTTCCGTATGTCCTTGAGTCCTTGTATGCAGCAGGGCTTTATGATGGAAACCCGTAGGAAGAGGGGACAACCCGCCAAATTCACATCAAAATCGCTAATATGAACACAAACAAAATCTTGAATTGCGTATATAAACAAAACAAACCACTATATAACTTATAAACATATCATACAAGGACACAAAGGCAGCACATAACCATTGTATACGGATGAAATCGAGCTCATGGTGCATCCTAGCTTCCAACAAAACACGACAGGCTCGAGACATGGCAATAAGGGACTGAAATCGAGCCAAAGTCCCACCGGGCCAGAACTCGGGGGCATGACGCATGCCTTCGAGAATATCGACGCTATGGTCTCGGAATCGGTCCTAGCCACGAACGACTTCGAAGAACATTGCCAGAAAATCCAGCATAGCCAACAGAGGGCCAAAATATCCATGACCGGCCGAATATTACGGCGGGGGATATCGGTACGTATCGATAAGGAACCGGCAATCGGTGAATCAAAAGATCTTTACCTTTTATAGAGTTGTACCTAAAATAAGACTTCCGTACTATATAAAGGGGGTCTGATAATTCATGAAAGACATTGTAACCCGCACTCAAAAGCAATTATATTATTATTTTCTTTGTCTCCAGCTCTTGTTCTTTTTCATCTATACCGGTCTTGGTGAGCTCGGTTCGAGAGTGGCTATTTCATTAAGGCTGAAACTATCCAACTCGTGTGGTTTGAATTTATTTTGTCTTTGTTTATTCAATAGCAATTTAAGTTATTGCTTTGTATCAAATTAATCCGCGTATCTTTAAAACCACAAATAAATTAAATTGTTATCCGNATGGTTTAAATTTATCTAGTCTTTGTTTATTCAATAGTAACTCAATTTATCGCTTTGTATCAAATTAATCCGCGTATTCTTAAAATCACTTACAAATTTAACTGTTATCCGATTTTGAGGGTAAACGATTTGGCGCCCACCTTGGGGCCAAGGATAATAGCGGCAATTTGATACAAATTCCGTAGCACACACTATTTTATACTTGTTCTTTGAAGTGTCTTTGATTCCAAGTTAAACCCCAGTCTGCCCCTCTAAACATGGATGCGGAGTCCAGCCACCATGGCGAGAACAACAATGTAGCACCCGGTAACAAGGTGCCCCCAGTCGATCTCGGCAGAGCTACGGTCGCAGGACCTATCGACGCTAGTTCGCATGTAGCCATCAACATAAATTTGCCTACCGATCCCGAGAACAGCGTGCGCAGGGAAGTCCGATCAATTGCCCAGAATACGCACAGCGGTGAAAATGATGGGATCAATTTGCAGGTGATCTTAGAAATGTTATAGGCTCAACAAGCATCGATAGCCCAATTGCAGAACCAAAGCCGAGCACCGAGCAAGGTTGAGCCCGAGCCATCCTGGGAAGTCACCCACAGAAATGAAACGATCACGGAGAGGCCGAATGAAAATGAATCGGGGACTAACCCCTAGATCATAAGAATACTCGAGGAATTGACAAAGCGGATGAAGTCGGGGGAGAAGAAAATTGTAGCCAATAACAAAAAGTGGAAACCTACAGTTCCAGGGTCGACCAAATCCCAGGAGCACCTACAATATTGAAGGGCCTGGATTCCAAAAAGTTTGTTCAAAAACCTTTTCCTCCAAGCGCAGCACCGAAGCCGACCCCAAAGAAGTTCCGCATGCCTGAGACTCCTAAGTAGAACGGAATGACCGACCCAAATGAGCATGTGACTTCCTACACATGCGCCATCAAAGGAAATGAGTTGGAGGATGACGAGATCGAGTCTGTCCTGCTGAAAAAGTTCGGGAAAACTCTTTCCAAGGGAGCTATGATATGGTATCACTACCTACCTCCTAATTCTATTGACTCGTTTGCTATGCTTGCAGATTCCTTCGTAAAAGCACACGTCGGGGCTATCAAGGTCGAGACCAGGAAATCAGGCCTTTTCAAAGTGAAGCAGAGGGATAACGAGATGCTCAGGGAATTCGTGTCCCGGTTTCAAATGGAGCAGATGGACTTACCCCCGGTCACAGACGATTGGGCCATTCCAGCCTTCACCCAGGGACTCAACGCTCGAAGCTCATTGGCTTCACAGCAGTTGAAACAAAATCTGGTGGAGTACCCGGCTGTCACTTGGGCCGACGTGCATAATCGGTATCAATCAAAAATCAGGGTCGAAGACGATCAACTCTGGCCCCCTTCCGGGTCCGTTTATCTCGTCAGAATGGTCGACATAGTCAGGAGAGACGTTGATCGTGAACCAAGGTCGAACATTGATAGCATCCTAGGAAGCTAAAATCTATTCAAAGACAAGGATGAGCTTTGGAATCTCAAAGAGGGCCTTTAACAAGATGTCAAGCTAAAAAGTTACAAAATAAGGTCATTAGACTTCAAGTATAAATAATGAAGTTATTAATTGGGAGGAAGGGCTCAAGGCTTAAGGATGTGAATTGGCTATGTGTTACAATTATTTTATGGCCCAAATTTATGTCCAAGAAGAGGAGTATTGGATCCCAAGAGACGGATCTTTGAAGAAGGTCCTAATCAGTCCACTTTTGGACTATTTTGACACCTAAAATGTGTCCAAACTTGCAGCCCAATTAGTCCTATATTAAGTTATATTTTTATAATATAAAAAGGACTTACTTGATGTCAAAGAAGGGTACAATAGTGGTGCTAGAAGTTAAGTGCAAGTTGGTGCCAAGTTGCTTGCAAATTTCCTTTAAGATTTTCAAGATCCTATCATAAGGTAGTTGGACTTTTTGTCCAAAGTAGTTAGGACTTTCTTTCTTTGTTTTTGTAGTAGAATTTTGTGAATCTTTCTCTATATAAAGGGGTGTCTTCTTTGTTTTTAGGGAGATTATTATAGACAATATCAACAAAAATTGTGAGATTTTTCTTGCACTCTTGTGTGTGGCTACTCTTGGATTTATTCTTCAACCTTCAAGAATCAACTTAAGGTTGTAAGATTAAACCCTTTTCGAAATCTTAGATCACTTCTAGATATTCAAGAAAGGTGATAAGTTTAGGCTTATTGTTGTTCTTGTTATTATAAAGGGTTGGGTTTCACAATCAATCTCTTGATTTTAATTTTCTACCAAAGGCGATTAGTTCTTCATTAGATAATTATTGTTGCTGGGATTCAATTTCAAGAATATACTTCTTGAATTCAAGAAACTCTTTCTTGAATTCAATCTATCTTTAATTTCTGTCTTTTTTTTTCGTTTTCCTATTTTCTTTTAGCTTCCGCACGTTTCTTGATTTTCTTATTTTTCTTTAGTAAATTCTTGAATCCCCTATCGTGTTATTATCAAGCCTTATAACAACATGATAGGGGATTCAAGAATTTACTAAAGAAAAACAAAAAAATCAAGAAACATGCGGAAGCTAAAAGAAAATAGGGAAACAAAAAAGACAGAAAGTAAAGATAGATTGAATTCAAGAAAGAGTTTCTTCAATTCAAGAAGTCTATTCTTAAAATTGAATTCTAGCATCAACAATTAGCTAACGAAGAACTAATCGCCTTTGGTAGAGAATTAAAAACAAGAGATAGATTGTGAAACCCGACCCTTTAGAATAACAAGAACAATAATAAGCCTAAACTTATTACCTTTCTTTAATACCTAGAAGTGATTCAAGATTTCGAAAAGGGTTTAATCTTACCACCTTAAGTTGATTCTTGAAGGTTGAAAAATAAATCCAAGAGTAGCCACACACAAGAGATCAACAAAAATCTTTGAAAAGGAGCCCAATTTGGAGTCCAAACCAATGGCCCAAACTAGTAGTTTTAAGGTCCAATTTTGCCCCAAAGGGATTTAGCCGCCCACCCTACCTAATTTTAATGACTTTTCTTATTTCTTAGCAACCACCCTACTTAATTTTAATATCTTTTTATGCCTTAGCAGCCACCCCACCTAATTTTAAGGACTTTTACACCTATAAATAAGGAGTTCTTCTCATTCATTGAGACACTTCATTATTGATTAAGAATATTATACTTTGAGAGTTCTTTTGAACCTTTGTTATTTATGCTTTGAGATTTATCTTTCAACCTTTACTAGTTCATAGTTCAAGATAGTAAGATAACTTCTTTATGGTGATATCATTGATTACTTTGTGGTATTCTTAGAAGGCGATTAATACGAGTTATTAATTATTGTCTCAAGTTAATCATAAAGGGGTCAAGATCCGAATCTATTGTTTTGATTTTGTTTTTAAGTAAAGGCGTTTGATTCCGTCAATAAATTAAAACGTTGTTGCTTGGATCTTGTCAAGGCTATAGAACTTGCGTTCTTGGAAGGTTTTGGAATTCTTTTCTTGAATTTTCCCATATCCTTTATTGTTTGCACTTTAATTCTAGTTGTTTAATTCCTTATTGTTATTGCTTCCGTATTTACTTCTCAAATTCTTACTCTAGTTTGGATCCTCGACCTTGTTGTTATCAAGTGGTATCAGAGCAATTCTATCAAGATTTCGTTCTTGATAATTCTTGGGACTTGTTGAATACTAAGAGCAAAAAAAAAATCATTTAAAAAAAAAAGAATTGCTTGCTCTCCAAGAACTTTCTTTTGTATCTAATTTGTTTCCAAAAACTATCAAAGGAAACAAGAAGAGGAGATCCCAGATTTCAAAGATAAGAAAAGAAAATTCAATTTTTCATACTCTTTCTAATCTAAATATATAATCCTTTCTTTTTTGTTCGTATCTTATTTCCACCGAGACTGATAGTTCTAGGATTTGGTACTTCTTTTATTTGTTCCCCAAGGATCTATATTTTACTACTAATAACTTTATACGAGTCGAGTTTAACTATAAATCTACAAAGTATTTTGTTCAAAGGTTATTTCGAGAGGGAAAAAAAGGCAAAGTGTGTGAGAACAATTGAGAAAA